CAGAAGGCTGTAATTTTCCTGCTGACAAGTGTGGAATAGGAGAAATAGGAACCAGGTTTAAATATTTGCGTATTTTTTATTCTATAGATATATGCATCACTGAAAAGACATTTCTGTAAGTGGTTTGTGGAACTAGAGTCTGTAAAAGTAAAAGGATTTTTTTTTTTTTTTTTCAAATTACAAATAGACTGGAAAGAGCACTGAAGTGTTTAACGAGATTTTGAGCATATTTCAATAGCAAGGTATTTCCAAGGGTTATGGTAAATAGTTTCTGTTTTAGCATGCAGTGTTTGATTTTACTAATGAATAGTATCCCTAAATGGCAAATGGAGATATTTGCGCCTTGGGCTTTAGAAACAAATGCATCTTCATGAAGATTCATTTTTCCTTCTTATGTGAAAAACTCTTTGGTCAGAAAATTTCTGATATGTATGTAAGGGTTGAACAGAGAGGAAAAGGTGAGTAGAAAATTTTTTGGGGGTATAGTATTAGCTGAAAGCTAAATAGCAGGCAGAGATCAATGCTGACATTCTTGCTTCTTTGGGAGGATCTCACTTTTAGTTGTGCACATATCAGCGGGAGGAAGGCATATTGATGCTCAAAATTCTCCATTTCATAATAGGATAGAAGTGATACAGAAAAAATGTGACCTTTACTTAATTGTCTTTAAGGAAACATTCAATGTCAGAGGTTTCTCTTACTGATTCCAAAACCTAACACATTTTTTTCTCTTCATTTATTTGTTACTGTCTCTAAACCTAATACATAAATTAAAATAAATAATTAAAAATACTGAAGGGATGAGATGTGTGTGTATTGGGCATCTCCTGACCCATAGGAAATTTGGAACCTCAAATCTTGTTTATTATCTCGTTAGAACTACTTTTCTAATCTACCACATTTTGTAGATATTTTAATTAATCTTGTCATATTTATTGAATCCAATCTAGAAATTAATATTGACATAGATTTTTGGAAGACACATGAAGTTGCTTTAGTAAAATGCATTCACCTCCTTCCTAAAGATAAGATGTTTTATTTGGGGAAAAAGTGTGAAAGGAGTTATTCTGTGCTATTAAAAAAAAAAAAAAAAAGTATGTTACAGAGTGAAAAATGCATGGAAATGCATAACTGTATATACAGCAGACACAGCCCTTGGTATGTTCTGCACAGAGATTGTCAGCTATCCCAGGGTATCTGGTAGGATTCTCTTATACCTTAAATACTTACAAATTATAGCTATATTTGGCATCCAGTAATATAAGCTAAGAAGTAATGAATTATTGTTAATAAAAATTAAAACAGTTGAAGAGTTTGAAGTAAACTTTTTGAAACAGAAATAGGAGAAACTATAGTCAAGAAAACTTTTTGGTAGTGAACATTGCTAGCCCCTCCTTAAAAGGTCAAATACATTACATTGCACACCTGCAGCACATTTGTATGTTTAAAAATTCATTAAAAAAATATTGATGGTGCATTTCTGTTCAGTCGCTTCTCTAATGAATATATTTGCATGTAATCACAGCTTTTCTCCTTTAGAACTTTCTTACTCATTTCCTAAATCCCCAATCTGTAACCTGATCTTGTGGGATTTACAAATTTGAGACCAAAGTCATCATGGAAAAGTCATGACATTGCCATTATTGGAAATGCCTAGTCATTATAAATGACTGATATGGTATAGCTTCGTGAATGAGCAAGAGCAATAACGTCAGATATGCTGTGCAACTTGTTCCTTTAGTACCAGAATTTGCTTAGAGAGGAAGAGCTAAAGGAATGGTTGCCTGTTTTTCTCCAGACCCTTCATTAGTGCCGCCCAGTGCAGGGTGTTCATTAAACTTCAAGACATGGGAGACACTGCACTGCTCGGCAGCTTATACACAACCGTCCCTGATGTCTTTATGCTTTTTTCATTGCAATCTATGTATTTTACTTGAGTTTTTCGAAGTGTGATTATAAAATCATTATTTGAGCTACTTTCAAACATGGCTCTTCCCAAGGGATGAAGACTTCAATATTGTTACAATGCTCCTTAGGAGAAAAAAAACAAGCAGACAAACAAACCAAAACCACAGCCACAAACCAATAGGAGGGGGTGGAGTGCAGAACAATCTTTGCATCAATTTCTCCTTATAGCTTTTCTGCTTTGGCTCTGGTTTCAAAGCTTGGGGCTAATATTCCCCATGGAGCATATTTCAAGAGTTTGGCTTTATACCTGTGAAACATATCGATACCATCCTACTTTGCAGACACCAGAAAAAATCAATTGTTCATAGTGAATCAAATTAACTAGTTTGTATCCATCATAAAAATGAATATGCTAAATAAAGGTAGGTTTGTTTTTTTTTTTTTTTTAATATTATAGACTTAAAGTAATTCTTACTAAAGGGGTGAAGTTTTACTCAGATTATGACATTCTTTCCTTTAAGAAAACCCCAACAACCTACCACAAATATTCAAAAATTCTGCTTTTCTGAGCATGTATCCTGAGAACCTCCTTAACCTTATAAGTCTTTGAATCAATCTTTAAAAAGTGGAGGATACATCTGTATCAAAAGCAATATATTTTTACATTCACCTTTGTCGTGAGGGAGGCAGTCAAAATGTTAAATATTTCTAATCTCTAATATTTCTTTATATCTTATAATAAAAAAATATTTCATATGTGTGTGGGAGAGAACGAGGTTACAATTAAAGGTGATTGTAGAGCAGAAGCTTTCAGTTTTTTAATATTTCTTTTCTGTCTTTTTAACAGTGGATCAAAAAGGTATTGTATGTTGTCTTGCAAAATTTTGTGAGAGAAAGAGTGTGGTATCAGTTTGCAGCATATTTTGTCATTATGGCTCTTGAGTTCATGTTTAGACAGTTCCTGTAGCTGTATCCATTATTTGGAGGTGGTTGTGAGATGAGGATTCCAAATGACTGAAACAGGATGTCCAGGTAGCAGAAGTTTTTTTTCCAGTTTACAACAGACTTGTTCTGGAGATAAATCATCTTTAGGTAAATCATATAATGTAATCTCTAAAATGCTTCCTATGGTAGTCAGTTTATCTTCCACAAAATCTTCTGTCCTTCATGGTTGGATGCATGCCAGAAATCTATGGGTGTTAAAGAAACAAACAACTTTCATTTTAAACAGTTTCAGTAGAAATAAATCATTTTTTTTTTAATTAGAAATATTGATGATCAAAAGAATAGAAGGGCAAAGTGGCCAGTTATTTTCACTGTACTCCACTTTTACTCTCTACCATGTATGGACAAGTGTGAAGGCTTTGTAGCTACACTGGCAATAATATAAACTGCAGGTATTTGGGTTAATAAAGACTTCATTAATCCCATAAAACCTTAGTGTGGGGTAGAGCAGCTGTTAACTTCTCACAGAGCTGGATGTGCAGAACCTTCAAAGCCTGTAAACATGCCAGTAGTAACTGACTATTCTTCCACATTCCCTCCATCCGCCTTTCACTTCACAAAGGTCTTTAATTTAGATCCCTCATGTCTTTTAAAGGCTTTTTTTCTTTTCTTTTCTTTTCTTTTCTTTTTATTTATTTAAATTTTTTAATATATTTCTCTCTGTCTTATTTTTGTCTCTATTTTCTTCTGTTCAGAACATGAGTCTGGGAGGGGGAATAAAGACAACAAAAATCCTTGACATCTGGAGAGAATTTCAATTTGTCTTTTGCCTTCTGAAATGAAATCTGCAGGTTTTTTTAAAAAAAGAGTAAAAGGATCAATCAGCAAGAGATACAGCTAGCTTATCTGACAAGCCCATGACAGTGTTCAGGCTGTCCACTGAAGATTTTCTGGAAGCGTAAGATTAGTCTGAAGTTTTTTTCCTAAGAACATCAGTTCAGAAAGGCCTCCTAGCCTCTGAATAAAAGCAGACACAATTGCTCTCACATTGTCCAGGACTGCATTGCACATACATGCCTTAAAATGACATTGGAAGAAAAAAGTCCGTAGTTGGTATAATCTCTTCAGAAAAATATACTGCTAGTTTTCCTGTTTGTTATGTTTTCTGTAAGGAGGTGACCCTAATGTTTCTGTTTTGTGATAGATCTAAGGGATTGTGGAACTAGTTCTAGAGGTTTGGGATAAAATCAATAGTGCATATGTTGATATTTCTGCTGAAAGAGTTTTAATGTTGTATCTTCCATTACCTTTGGAAATGGGACTATTTCTGTAACCTTAATGGAGTATGACTTTCCTATATCCAAAGGCATAGGTCATTTGCATAAACTCTGCACATAAAACATATGCTCTATTCTACATCTCTATTTTAAAACCTACAGAATCATCCACAGATCATACAACCCTATTTCATTTGTACTGGCTTTGGTTTTCCTTTCTCAACTCTATACCTTCTGTTCCTCCCCTACTGTGACACCACATGAGGAGCATAGTACTTTCTGCTACAAGACTGTTTACCCTCCCCAAATCCATTAGTCTGCCACCTGCGTTCATGTATCTAGATGTAATAATGCACATACTTGCATACAGCTCAAACACGCATCTCATTTGCTTCTGGAATCATGGTCTAGATCAGTCCAGAAATTTGTTGCACAGACACATCTAGACATATGCATAGCTAGAAACATACCCTACAAGCGTGTGTGCTTGCAATCCCAGTTCAGAGACTGACTCCGCGTAACAGCTGACAGGCTCAGTTAAAGGTACAGGAAAACTCATTTTAATTTGTGATTTTAGTTTGGAATTTTAACTGTTGGAAGTGTTATGTAGCCATATCCTGTTGTTTTAATCTTGACAAAGTCAACATAGAGATCTAGCAAAACAGAATAGCTATCTGTCTCACTATTAATAACTCTGAAAAATCCTTTCAATCAGACAAATCTTTATTATTAATAATGTATATATTTTCTTGACAGGATAAGAATTACATGTCATATTCCCTTGAAGATGTTTCCTACAAGCTACTCTGATACTTTTTGGAACAGGCTTTGTAAAAAAGAAGAGGCATGCATCATTCCTTCAGGGTGTCAGCTCTCTAGGTTGCTGGATGATTTTGGAAACGACGAGTCCTGTATCCAGCCCTAGTCCCACCAAGATCCAGCCTGCATTCTGTCAGGTCAGAGATCCTGCTCAGGTGTTTTATCACGGCATGTGGTGGAATGAGAAGGGACTCTTCATGTATATGTATGACTAGGCGAGTCTATTTAAAGCTGAAAAGATAAGGACTAGATATTTTCATATACTCAAAAGAAATAGCTGATACAAAATACTGGTGTGATGTTCTATCCAGAGGACTGTCTAGCTTGGGAACTGGCTTGCTGCAGTTGGAATCCAAGAATATTTTTCAAATAGTCTTAAGGACAATCTGAGCTGGGGAGGTATTTAAGATACTCTCACAGCCATAGACCCCTATTGTCAAATCCAGACTTGGCAGTCACTCTGGAATTTGGCCAGTCAAAAAAAGAGAAAGAAAAAATTGTATCTGACAATTGCTTTTAACTGTGTGTAACTAATAATGAATCTAGAGAAACCTGATGGTCAGGCACCACTAAGAAAGCTTGAGCATGAGTTCTACTGCTGGGGAGTCTGTGGTTTCAATTCATTTGTGATAGTGTTGCCTTCTGCTTATGAGCCCCAAATCATCTCTTTTGTTTAGCCTGAGAGCTGTTTCTCAACAAGGTCAATAATTCTCAGAGATAGATGATCAAGAGAGCGATAATCTAACACTCCTGAGGTAAGGGAAGAGAGAATCAGGTTTTGTAGGAACTATGGTAGAAAAGAATAGCTTCTTTGTCATGCTGACCAAGAAGCTGGAAGATTTTAGACGTCACATTTGCTGTTGCTAACTGGCTAGCTTTAGGTCTGTTGTCTACCAATCATCTACTCTCCTGTTTCTTTTCCTGCAATTCAACACAGAATCAAAGCTAGCTCTAGAGAGCGAGTGAGGAGAGATGGAGTCTCTTTATTACTTTGATGGCTGTAGACAGAAAATAGTTGCAGTGTTTCAATTTTATACCCATCAACTGTCACCTAATTTAGTGGATACTCATTGATCTCCAGCAGAGAATTTTGAAATTATAATCAATGTGAAGATGCCATGGAGGAATAATAATAAACCTCTTAGGAGCTGGAAATACATTTAATGAATCAGGAGGTTGAGTAAATAATACCACATGTATGTGGTGGGAGCTGTCTGGATAACTGTGGTTACAGCTCCAAATAGCTCCTAAATAGCCTACAAAGTAAAATAAAAGGAGATTTAGTCATTATTATTGGAGAGTCTGCTCATGGGACTATATCAAATGCAGTTACAACAGCATAAAACATGAGAAGCATTAAAGCTCTTCTTGTTTCCCTTTAAAAAACAAAGTGATCATTTTATTTGATTTTCTGGCAAAGAGCGTATATGTTTGTATATGTGCAGCGGATAAAGATATGGGATGAAATTTGGCAAAAGACATCTTCAATAAGAAACAAGGAACATTTATTCCAGAGGAAAGAGCATTGCCCAGCTGAAGGATTGGCAACAAATGCTTGGGTGACTCTTGCTGGTATCTAAACCACTGCTTCATCGAGCTTCATATATCTGGGCCAGTGCCATACCTCACCAGCTAGTGTGGCTCAGGCCACAGAGGTGGGCAGCTGAATAATCTGAACCATAGAAGGGGCTAGAGCACTTAGGCCAAGCCTGTGCTGTGTAATCCCAGCTCTGATACTGATCTAGGTTTCCTGTGTGTCCTTGGTCACATATCACAACATTTTTGCTTCATTAGCTTCATCAGAAAATCTGGGTGATATTTATCTGAGGGCTTTGTTGGAATGTTATTATTAACTAAGTTGTGTTTAAGGAGATGTAATACAATTTCTGTCCTGAATCTGACTGGAAAACACTGTTACCCATCAAGTGGCTGGGGATTTAACCTACCCTCACCCAGACCTGTGACATCATTGAGCAGTTGTGTGTGATCAATCTCTACCAAGCCATGTGTGGGTCTCTGTGTTGGGTGCTGTTTTTAAAGAAGATAGGTGGTAATGAGTTGAAGATTCCCCTCTGTTTGCTTTAGGTAAAGTAAGTGAGTTAGTGGTTCCACAGCTTCTTTTGGCAACAATCTCTCCATGCTGCCTTTCTGCGGGAGAACGTGGGGAACAGGCTTCTGCCAGGGTTTTGACTAGGTGACCTCCAAGGCCCTTCCAACCTGAATAATTTTGTGATTGTATGATTTGAGGCATGTGTAAAAGTGAGCTGTTTTTAGAGGTGTAGTTAGGAAAGAAAGAAGTCCAAAGTCTAGGACCGTTTCTTCCACCCTTGCTGCTTTATTTTCTGATGGTCTCAGAAGATTAGAGGACCACATGTATGCATGTGTCTTGATTACAGAGTAGCATCTAAATGAGCAGTATCCAACCTTTTTGGCTGACTTCCTTCAGTATTAGAGAAGAACTGCGTATGGTAGTGCTGCTCTTCTCACATCACAGAAAACTACAGAAGGTTTGCTGCTTCCTGGAAGTGTACCGCTCCCATGCTCCACTGTATACATGCACAGGTAAACCCATATACGCTCCAGCAACCAGAACAGCTCCCAGCAGGTTCTGGCTGCAAGAAGAGCTCACGCTACGCCTGACAGCTGCCTTTCTCAGTGGCAATTCGCATACAGCAGAAGCAAAGGTGCAGGACAGGTGATTAGCTCTGCTGATAGCAGAAGTTTATTCCCAGCTGCCATCTTTCCTGAAGATGCCTTGGCCTGCGTCAAACAAATGACACCAGTGATTCATCCAACCCCGATCCCTCTGCCTGCGCCTGGCAGACTCCCAGGTTACCTCATAGGACAGATGAATCGCCCTGGTAGAAAGTATGTGGCCTATAGGCTGTAGACTGAGGAGATTGATGGCTAGTCTGCCTTGATTATTATTACTATTTTAAATGCCCAAGCAGTGGGGAGAACAGATTCACTGAACGCTTGAACTCTTCAAACTCTTTTGAGCAGTGCGACAGGCAGTGTTTAAAAATAGAAACCGCGGTTCCCCGTGCAGCCCCTTTCCCTGTGATTCCTCCCAGTGGATGAAGTCATGCCTGCCGCCCACTGCCCTGCGAGCGGGTAGCCTGTCTCCGGCAGCGTCAGCAGGAGCCGGCACGGTGAGCTTAAAAGGCTGTCAGGGGTTGGCAGGTCATGTGCCCAAAGGCAGGAAAGCAAGCTGGGGAAGGGAGAAAAATTGAAAAAATAACCACAAAGAAAACAAGCTTGTTTTTGAAATCGGAAACTTTAAAGAAAAGATTTATGAAACTGTGGGTTTATGAAACCACCTGGTGCTTTGGAGTTTGCTGCTGGTTAAATTTGGTGATTCAAAGTTTGGTGGTTGTTTCCCTCCATTAAAAAAAAAAAAAAATAGAGACATTTAGAATAGTCTAATTCCACATTTGATTCATTGGTTGTTTAAAACTCACACCCCCTTAACTCTGAGCTCAACTTGTAAAATCAGAAGGTTTTAGGGGAAAAAGCCTGTTACATTTTTAAGGGCAGCTTTACCATTTGTGGTGTGCATTAGTAAGTGCAGCCCCTGAACTCTGCCTTTGCCGTCTGCTTAGTGTCCTTGCTGGCACGCAGTGTGACTTGTGCTGTGTTTTGACAGTTGGTGACCTCTGACCCTCTGATCCATAAAATGTTTAGGCTGAGGATGCCCTAGAGGAGCTCTCAGATGTGATGGTTGGGGGCTCTTTTGAGAGGCCCGTCATCTTTTCCCCCAGCCCATATATAGCAGCAGCGTTTAGCCTGTAGGTTTTACTTGCACAGCAGTTTGGGTCAGAGACTTGCCCCCATGCCTCTGGTTCTGGGCTTCCAAATAGAAGTGTGGGGGTGAAATGAGAGGGGGGCAGAATAAGTGCCTCATGCTGCCTTTAGGGTCAAAAGATAATTGAGCTGTGTGGGTCTCAACCATGACACATGTCAACAAAACATGGTTTAAACTCTGCTCTTGCAGGGGCTTCTGCAGCTGGAGAGGGTTTCCAGAGAACAATGAATTCTGTCCTTTGGTACTAAAACTGAAGTAATAGTACTTAATTTTTCTGTGGCTCTTTCTGGTGTTTAATACCAGTTGATTATGCTTATGACAGTATTTGTAGAGATGGATAGTTATTAGATTTGGATGAATCATTCAGAGTGAACAATTTATTCAGCACGTTGCTTATTTTTCTCTTCATAAGTTTGCAATTCAAAACTGTGTTACTCTTAAATGCATTCATTATTTCAAAATTAATTGTTGGTTACATGAGTGAATATTCTTGTTCTGAGTTATTTTGCAGTCATTTCCATGAAAAATATTTGCAACTTCCCCTGCGCTGGCTAGCTTTGGGAGTCAGGTGAGGCCATCTCTGTTCCCTTGTTGGTGATGCAAGTATTTAACCATGTCGTGGTTTGAGCCTGGTCAGCAGCCAATCACCACGGAGCCACTCTCTCTCCCTTCTCTTCAGGCAATGAGAAGGGACAAAGAGCCAGGCTTGGGGTTAGAGATAGGACTGGGATGGGGAAAAAAATCACCCTTTATGGTCATGAGCAAAAGGCAGACTCTATAGGGGAAGAAAAAAAGAACATACATTTGTTAGAGACACTAACAAAACTTAACAGAGTAGGACAGTTGCCACATCTTGAGAACACTTTCCCCCCACCCCTCCCTTCTTCCCGGGCTCAGCTCTGCTCCCAGTATCTCTACCTCCTCCCCCAGCAGCACAGGGGCAGGGAATGGGGGCTGCAGTCAGTGCTGCTGCTTCTTCTGTCTTCAATTGGGGGGAGCTTCTGAAACTTTTCCCCCCTGCTCCATCGTGGTCCCCCTCTCACAGGGGAAAGTCCTCCACCAACTTTCTCTGACATGAGTTCCTCCCATGGGCCGCAGCGTTCCCCACACTGCTCCGTTGTGGGTCACCAACTTCCTCCAACTGGATTCCCTCCCACGGCTGCAGCCCTTCCCGAGCTGCTCCGGTGTGGGACACCCCCGCATGCTGCAATCCTCCCAGCACTGAATTACAACAGTGGGGGCTACCTTTTCCCACAAGTCCCCAGCCTTCTTCTAGTACAGCACCTTGATCATCCAGGCAAAAAACACAGGCCATAAATCAGTGTCTGCCCC